ATTTTGAGATTTTAAATTCTTTATTTGAGAAAAATGATCAAATACTTACAAAATCACAACGTACAACACATTGTGTAAATTCAAGATGACACATTTATATGATAGTTAATGTTAGCTTTCACTTAATAAAACAAGTAATTATAGCTTTGTTTGGGATGGCTTTTCTGTTGCTTTTTAAAGCACCTTTTTAGTTCAAAATTTTAATTTTTGTATTAAACAGCTGCTTTAAGAGGCATGAAGAAAGCTCTCCTAAATGAAGTCTATAGCTTTAGGGCTTTGTTTGGGGAAACTTTCTTATTTCACTCTAAAATAGATTTCTAGCACAAAAAGTTTTAGTTTAAAAAGTGTTATTCGAAAAACTTGCTTTAAGTAGCAGTAAGATGATAGTTCTAAACGAAGCCTAATCCTTAAAACTTATTATGTCATGACCATATTAAGATTTCAATTTTTATAATCATATTAAGTTTTAATAAACTTGTTATGACTTAAAATAATCCTTAAACTTATTATGTAATAAACCTATCTACAAAATCATTCTATGAGGATCTTCATATTTAAGAAAATAACTTGGATATGTTTATAACCACTTCATTATCTACCTACTATTGCAATTTTATGCTCAACATGGTGAGAGAAAATAATTTAGAATAAAGTTGCAATCAATATATATTTTTAGAGGTGTCCATAATTATTTATAGGGGTGCCCACATTTAATTATGGGGTTGAGGTGGGTCATATTAGAGAGTGGGCAACAATTTTATATTAGAGAAGTTTCTTATATTGCTTTTACATCAAACAAATAAATTAGAAAGAAAAAATTTTAAAATTTTATTTAATGTAAAAAATTATTAACATATATAATATTTATACTAATGACTAATGAGTGTGTATAAGCTCTACAAATACTTGCTTATTTTTAAATGATAAAGTTGGGTAAAGAGGGACATTTAGGCTAGAAAAGAGTAGATTAGCGGGGCATGTGAGGGTATATGTTCCCTCTCAAATATCTAAGCGATACATAAGCTTAGATTTTGTTTGAGGTAGTTTTCTTACAATTTTTTAAAATAGTTTTTAGTACAAAATTTTTTCAAACCAGTGAAAATAGTGATAAAAAATTGTTTCAAATGAACCCTCATAATTTGTTAATCGTTGAACTATCTGGTTTGCCTAGAAATTTGATTCCAATAGCCTGGTTTAGAGTTAAATCGAGATAATTAGATTTACAGCCTTCACTTGATCAACTAGAATCATTTAAAAAATATTCACCATAAGTATATCATACCGCATGCTCAGCATAAATTATATAAAAAGAAAAACCTTTATTACTATACCCACACAGGTAAAATAACCACACAACATCACGCATGTCCTTTTAGCTCTGGCTGTCTAACGCCTCTCCTCACAGAGCAATTGCGTACACCATGTGAAAAATATAAACTTTATGTAAGGTTTGTATTGTACTATCAAATTTGTTTCTATTATAATCCTTGAAGAATTGCTCTTTGACATGATTGAATGTTTAAAGAGGGAGTTAGTGTTTGATTAAACTTAAGCTTTGTTTGAGATAATTTTTTTACTACTTCTTAAAGAAATTTTTTAATATATAAAAAAAATTATAAAATTTTATACTAAAAAATCGTTTTAAGAAGAAGGAAGATAGCCAATCCATATTAAACCTTATTTTAATTAGTTGATGTACAACTTAAAGTGTTATTTATGAGACATTGGGCCTTGATCCTTAATGAAATTGGAAGCTTCTAACCTTCTCTTACATAAAGACATGCTTCCAGATTGAGTTTGAGCTGTAATTTTAGTTTAATTTTATGAGTTTAAACCAACTCATTTATAACGAAAGAGAGAAATTGATCATGGTTCAAGCAATTATTATTATAAAATTATAAAAAAAATGAGAATTAGAAGATGAATAATAAAGAATCATTTGATATAAAAAAGCACGAAATGATTTTTAAATATCTATAATAATTTATACATGAACTCTAGAATTCTAAGATATTTTAAGTGTATTTTATTGTAATGATTTTTAAACGAGTTGATTCACAAACTAACTAGTCGAGTCGAGGCTTATTCAAGCTGACTTATTAGCTCATTGAGCTTGGCTTAGAAGTCATTTATTGGGTCAAGCTCGAGCAGGCTGATCATGAGTTGGCTTGACTCAGTTGCACCCCTACTTACATATGAATTTTTAGGTATTTAACATGTCCTAAAAGGTGAACTCATATTTCATGGACTTTGAAAATGAAGACTCGGCTAAGAGCACTAGCCCCTAACTCTACAAAATAATCAGTGTAGGTTGCCTCCTCCCACAGAAAAGCCAAAGGTTCATAAAAACTGCTCAGATTAGGACTCGCCTGCTAGTGAGAAGCACCCATTAAATCCATCGGCTACCACTTAGGGCAGGGTGCCATCAATACGAATCACTCATCCAAGCTACATGGAATGATCTTCTCAAAAGGGTTCTAGCTTGCCTCATCACACTTAGGTGACAATGGAGTCCATTATCCTAGTGACTTGAATAAACTCGCCTCCCACCTTAAAGCAATCTTTTGGTTCCATAAAAAAATGTGGTTAATGACTTCAAAAGATGCATCACTTGTGGTCTTCTCACCTTGGCCCTTATAAGCGGAATTGGCCCAATTCTACTCACTCATAGGCACTCAGCACAAGGGGACGTACTCACCCTAAGGTAAATGGGTCAAATTTGAAGACAACCATTCACCAAACCAGCCAGGGCATGACGCATGTCTAAAATAAGCCATAGTAAGGACAATTTCATGTTGTGCTTTTTAATTATTTCCAACATTTCTTATAGTCCTCTAATTCCTATAAATAATAGGTGAAGATGAGTATTTTGAATCATTTGGCACTTTACTAAATGAGGCATTTGAGTTAGTAAAGCTTTTTCATAGAGATTTTCCTTAATCTTTTCATTTTCACAACAAGTTCCAAGGTTCAATTTTCTTCCTTAAAAGAGGTTGGAAGTTGTGTTGTGAAAATGATTTAGAGCAAGAAGACTACTTTATATCCACTTATTTTCAAGTTAGTTAAATTGAGATTTGTTTTAACTTTTTCTACAATAAGTATTAAAACATCATTTTCTACTACGAATAGAAGAAAATCTCTTATGAAGCAAAAGTGAAGATCTGTGAATGAATAATGTTTTAATCACTTATATTAAAACAATATTGAATTATATAGATAATAAAATAATTACTAAACATATTTAAAAGATAAAGTATAAATACACTTAATTATAATCTTTTATTAGTACGTATCTATTTTATTTTTTATTGAAAACTTTTAATAGAATTTTTTTTAAAACTACCAATACCTATATCAAGTCAAGATAAAAAATACTAATGTATAACTCTTAAAGACTATAGAAAATTAAAATTAATTTATATACCCTAATTAAGATTAATTACTAGCCCCACCACTAAGGGTGGGGAGAAGTTAACTTTGTGGAGTGAATAAAATTTAGGGTTCAAATGCTCTGCCTAAGGATTGGTTATCTTGGGCAACGACCTTCATTATGAGCTTATATATTCAATAAATTTTATAACATGTGGTTGATTTGAGCAATATACAAAAAGTCTCATGAATTTTTCCATTCTTTTCGATCAATCGCATAATTTATTATATTTAGAGAGAAAATATGGGAATAAATATGTTTGCATTTTCGCTTATTTGCATAAAATCAAAACTATTTTAAGGAGTAAACCGAAGAATTGGAAACAATGTCTAGAACATGAGGAAATTTATCGCATTTTTCCCCTTAATTGAGTGGCTTTCTCTTCATATTTTTTGCACTTCTATTTTTTGTTGAACTTGGGCTTTGAATCAAATGGCCTATTTAGTGTGTTTATGCTTGTTGGCATTAAAATTTTTGGCTAAGATCTATTGGGAGATGTTATACTTGGTTACTCGTTGATCACTTTTGAACAAGGGCTTGTTTTGTAGCTAATTTTTTTATTTTTTATTTTATGATAATGATAAGATTGTTGTTGTGTTCTCCTCTTGGATGGCAGTGTGGGTGTCACTTTCTATCCTCTTCATTCTATTTTGTAGCAACCAACTTGACATTTACTGTAGCGGCTTTGAAATATTAATCATGATGATTTGTGCCCATCTGAATCATTTTAACTCAAATTTTGATATTCTTGATGTCTTAAGTGATTTCCGATTTTTCTTTTATGCATTTTTAAACATGATGTGTATTGTATATCACATGGAGCTTGGTTATGATAATGAAGATTCAAGTAAGTCAAGGGCAACTTTTACTTACATGTAAGTACATATCATAGTTAAAATAATTTTATTATAAATACAAGAATAATTTAATAGCAATTATAACATGTGACATGTTTTTTTTTTTTTAAATAGCTAAAGCATTTGTAATAAAAAATAGAAGTTTTATTCATAAAATTGATATATTAAAATCAAGATGAGATTAACAAAGAAATAACAATAGAATGCAGCTATCCACCATTATGAAAAAGAAAAAAAGAAAAAAAAATCACTTTCAATGTAGGATAATGGAGTCTTTGTCAATTATGCACCAACCTTTGTTATTATTGCACAAAATATCTCTATCACGAAATTCACCGCCATCCTGTAGTAGCATGGGAAGATCTATATCACTCTGCTCGCGTGGGATGATATCATTGATCCCTTTCCGATATTCCAGGCGAGCTTAGTACAATGGGATGACCTTTGTTTTTTTTTGGGACATTTAGGTCATTTAAGACAAATTCATACCCACAATGCATACACATAAACTCAAACCTGAACCTCTTTGTTGGAAGCCTAAGCTCTCAACCAATAAGCCAAGGAGAGTTGTGTGGGATGACCTTTGTTACTTGCTTGTTTTTTTTTTTAGACATTTAGGTCATTTAAGGCAAACTCATACACAACTCATACACAAAAATTCGAACCTAATACCTCTTAGTTGCAAGCATAAACTCTCAACCAACAAGCCCAGGTGAGCTGTATTTTACTTGCTTGTTTGACTACTGCAAGAAAAGGATGAAAGCTCAATCCATTGCTTAAAAATGCTTGTCGGCCGAGCGCGCCCTAGCTCTGGAGCGTACCAGTGGAGCGCTTCCTGAAAAGGATTGGTCGTTAATGGTTTTTTGTTGTTTTTGTTTTTCTGTTGAGCTCTTCCTCGTTATCTAAATGTTTCCTCTGTAATCATTTCAGGCTAGAACTCTTTTTTTCCTAGTTTTCCTGATGTGCTAGATCTGGGAACTCTGACAAGGTTCTCGCTGTGCTTTGATTAATTGTGCTTGTCTTTTAGTGATTGCTTTATTCTAGATTGTAGTTCTTTTAGGAGGAATTACTCGCTGAACTAGAATATCAAGTGCCGCAGTTCATGCCCATTGTTGTATGACTTTTTTTTTGTATTTATGTGCCTCAGTGTATGTAATAAAAGGGGAAATTGAAGTTCATGTTTCCTTTCTTTGTGAAGGAAACGGGATGACTAATATTTGGGAGTGCGATGTGGTGGTGGAGTGTGTCAGTATAGTTGGAGTTTTTGTTTCAATCTCTTAAAGATAAATTTTGGGAGTTGTTGCTGCCGTATAAACTATAAGTTTTTGTTTTGGGAGTAATCTTTGGGTGAGATTCTTTTCTGATTCATCTCTGCTTCATTATTCTCCTTGAAGGCATGAATGAAAATATCGTTTACAAAAATACTTGCTGAGATGTCCCTACAAAATCTTAGTTCCAGAATCCTTTTGACAATCCAATCATGAGTGTCAAGATTTGTACCTATGATCTCATCCGTTAGGTCATTTCAAGATGCCTAAAGACTCTTCCATAATATTCATGTAATCTATCATCAACCTCACAACATCCGATGGCCAAATTCAATCTCCGTAAACACTAATCTTGAGATCTCGAGCCTCCATAGATCCATCCATCATCTTGAAGGGCATGGTGATCCATCATATGTTATTGATGATGTGGCTTGATTTTTGCCCGTAGATTGGATGATTGACCAAAATAGCCTTGATAGGGTGGCATTTGGTCCAACATAAATCTCAAGTCATGCAAATTGCCAAAAGTACTAAACCATCCTTTACTCACATACTTATACATGCGGGGGGAGGCAAGTGGGGATTCACTTCACTTCATGTTCCCTCAAGAGGAAGCCATGTCAAGCTACTTTTAGATTCATTCAGAGTTTCATTTAGCCCCTCAAGTTCACTTACTGATATAGGCATCATGTCTTCTTGAGGGGCAAACTATTTGAGGCAAACTAAGTATTTTTTGGCTATGTATGTACAAGAAACAAGCATGTGCTAGAGACAATACCTCTTGCGACTCTAAATAATTCAAAGAATTTCTAACACACAATAATTTGACGACATCTATAAGAATATCACGACCCTTTAGGATTAGGGTACTCTGTATGAAACCACCAATTATTCCTAAATTTAACTTATGGTGTGTTGAAGATGAAAAGCAAGCATAATTGTAAAGTGATCCTCTTTGAAATCTCCATAGCCAGGTTTCTCATCCCTGACAAGCTTAACACCAAATCCCACTCTCATACCCTTCTAATTCCAAAAATTAAGAGAAGTTGCCTATTAGTGGGTCATTTGATAATTCTCTCAAAGATCTAGTTCAATACATGGAAGAAAAACAAGATGAAGGAACACCACTGTAATTAGAGCATCACCCACAAAATAAGGAGCTAGGGTATCATTATTTGGAAATAGCCAACAAAGCTTGGCTTCTACTCGATATAGTTTCCTTAAACTCATCTTGGGCTATATGCACCATCAATTTTGCTACATTCAATTCACATTTAGAACTTGCCTAAGAACGCAAGTTTACTCATGATCATCATTGCATCTAAGTAATTTTAAACGCCCAATTGTGGGATGGAGATCATTCCCTCCCCACCTCTCCTGCTTCGATCAATTTACTTCTTCATGAATAGATCCACCAGGAATTTTTCCATCTTTTTGTTTAGGAATTCCAATGGGAAGGGCCTCCCTTAATGATGTAACCTGTATGAAAGAACTCCTTTCACTGATCAAATTCTTGATTGTCCTATTTCATGCGGATTAAAAATGTTTTCTATTGATCCACATGAATGTTCCATTGATCCCTTTGAGCACATCATTCATTTTCAAAGATCATGCAAATTCATTTAGTGATTAATCAGATTATATGTCAAATCTCTATTGTTTCATCGAAGTTATAAGCCGGATTGTTTTATGTAGTCCAACAATGCTCTTAGGAAGCTTTAATGGATTGTTCCAACACTTCCCTAACCAATTTTTTTTTTGCTAATTAATGCATTGTAATGCATTTGTATATCACATTTCAGGAATACGTTATGAAGAAGGATAATTTCTCTCTAGGTTTTATAGAATGCTTCAGCAATTAACTCATTATCTTATGGAGTTTGAACTTTAGCTCCTTCGTGGAGCTTACCTTGCAAGTCTTCTCCTAAGAACATTTTTCTTCACTATTGTGAGCGTCATTTCATCCTAAATAAAAACTCATTTAGCGCGTTGAGGCCTAGATCTCTATCAATGAAGTCATCAAAGCTTATCATTGACAATTCTCCCAATTGGAACGGAAGAAGAACAAGCACCAGTAGGATGGCGTTCTGACTAACGATGCTAGAAAGAAGGAAGGGAAAGTCTTTTTCCATGCCTTCACAATAAAATAATCAGTGATAGTCAAGTTAATGAGGATATTGTTAGAATTCACAGAATTTGAGAAGGGTAAAAAGACCTTCTACTTATTATACAAAATTATCCTTATTTATAGATCTATACAAGATGTCTTAATAAAGAAATAAATAACTTCTAATTGATACATAATTGCCTCAATATAATCCTTCCTAATTCAGTTATCCAAATATAGAAGGATATTGGCGTGATCCAGGTGAGCCTCCCACGGTTTCTCATCCTGACCGTGGGATCAAATGCCAAGGGATGATTGAGATTTTGACACTCCCCCTCAAGCTGGAGACCAGCTTGCAATTACTCCCTCAGAGGTAGAGCTGCATTGGTTATGGATAGGATATCAACCACCAGAGAAGCCGACAATGAAGGACGATGATGGAAAACTATCCTCAAAATTCTGACAATTAAGGCCGGTTGTTGGAACTTTTATTTCTTAGAATTCCAGCAATAAAGGCCGGTAGTGGGAACCTGTATTCTCATAATTCCAATAATGAAGGCCGGTAGTAGGAACCTATATTTCTCAAAATTCCAGCAATGAAGGCCGGTGGTGGGAACTTTGTATTCTTCAGAAATTCAGCAATGAAGGCTTCTCGGAGAAAATTTCCATTGTCGACAATAAAGGTCGATGATAAAGATTTTCTCTCCTTTTTTTCACTAAAAAAGATTTTTTTTTCTTTCCTTTTTTTTTTTCATAGTTTACTAAACCAAACCAGCCGAGCCCTTTAAAATGCTTGGATCGGGACTAGAGCACGTGGTCGGGTTCCAGAGGAGTCCCGTTCGGCTTCACGGTCGCACCTTTCGCTCGTTCTTGGCTGTTTGACTCGTCGACTCCGGCCTTCCTCATGGATCGGAAGTTCATTTAGTTCGTTCGTGGCTGTTCGACTATCCTCCTTTGACGACTTGTCCTTCCTGTCTGATCGGAAGTTTGGATCGGAGCTTCAGCTACGTCTTAGCCTCCGTCTTCGGCGTACAAGTAGTCGGCACAGCTCCGTCCTTTCGAAAGCTTTGTTTTCGCGAGGCTTCGATCGTCCCGCATGGCTTCGTCCGTCCGCGAGGCTTGAGCTTCTCCGCAGAAGATCGGGACTTCCGGCTTCAGCTTCAGGCTTCGGGGTTTAATGTTTGCGGAGCGGTCGGTCCGTCTGATCCCATCCTGGACGAAAGCTGAGGGCAGGCCACATTCGTTCGGAACAGTAGGCATCTTCGGGTGGTGTCTGGTTGTTCGACTCCGTCTGCTTGCGTTCGTCCGAGTCGGATGCAGCGTCCGCAACGTCTGGCAGCTCCGATTTATTCTTCTTCTTCTTTTCCTCCGACGATTCTAGGATCGTTCTTCAATCGGCAATGAAGGCCGTTAGCTCTGATACAATGATAGAATTCATTGAATTTGAGAAGGGTAAAAATACCTTCTACTTATGATACAAAATTATCCCTATTTATAGATCTATACAAGATGTCTTAATAAAGAAATAAATAACTTCTAATTGATACATAATTGCCTCAATATAACCCTTCCTAATTCAGCTATCAAAATATAGAAGGATATTGACGTGATCCAGGTGAGCTTCCCACGGATTCTCATCCTGACCGTGGGATCAAATGCCAAGGGATGACTGAGATTTTGACAGATATAATGCCAATATCAACAATGTCAACAACAACAACAAAAGCCTCGACTCCTACCCTAGAAGCATACTACTCTAAATACCTCCTATGCCAGTATCCTCATGGAGATTCAAGAATTGTTGAATAGGTTAATAGTTGAGTTAATGAGTTCACGAGTTGTTGAATTGATAAATAGACGAGATAATCATTTATTTTAGTAAGTTTATTAGATTTTGCTGATTCTTTTAATAAAATCCATACTTTAAGTTATGTGATGGGGTAACTTCATTGAGTGGAGACTTTCTGTATAACCGAGGGCTTTATCTCTCATCTAGTAGTAGTCTCAGAACTTCAAAACGCGACTCTAAATTGAGATCACTTTGATCTCTAGCTTATGTTCATCTACCACTTGTTTAATTAGTTGGATTGTCTGATGATACATGTTTTTTCTAATTTAAATTCAAGTTTTGTAGTTTCAAATTTGAAGTTTAACCAACTTCAAATTGAATAAATGAATTTTGAGTTCAAGATTTGAACCTTTCAATAATTCTCAAGATGTCTAGCCTCCTAGGTGTACCCTGAGTGCTTAAAAAATCCCAAGACTGATTTCCCTAAGCACTTTTCAAATTCCAAGGATGTGTTCCTTGAGTATTTGTCGAGTTCCTTGGATGGTTCTCGTTATACATTTTAATTAAATATCAAATATGATACTTTATGAGCATTTTTTCATTAAAAATAGATTTTCTTCCACAAAAGAATCGAACAAATATCCTAGAATTCTTTTTTGTTTAAAGAATATAATTGAACTACATAGTTATTTAATGTTCACTTCCATTTTATACTAAAAGCTAATTTAAAAATTTTATTTTATTTTACTCATTAAATTTTCTTGGTTCTTAAATCACTTGTGCAGGGGTTAGTTCATTTCTTCTTTCCTCATTCTTCATTTTCTAATTGACGTTTGGGATTGGCGAGTTCAAATTCCTTGAGGTTTCTTACTTTGATGAGTTTTTTCAGTTAGGTTGTGAGGATGTAGGCAGTCCTCCATGTCATGACTATTCAAACTGAGTTCTATTTTCTATTGAGTAAAAGGAACCTTGATGCTTATTCGACCACCATTTATGATGTCATTGTGAGTCTTTAGTGAATTCTGGATGTTGACTTGAAGACTCCACTTTTTTATATTCTTCGAAATTTGCATTGCTATTAACAATAGAAGTGTGGAAATGCTTAAGAGATCAAATAATTTCTTTGCTTACTAGATTCTTTAATATTATTTTGAAGACTAAAAAGATGCTGAATGAGTGGAGAAAGAGTGTGTTGATTCCTATTTTTAAGAATAAAGGTGATGCCCAAGAGTGTGTAAATTATAGAGAAATTAAGTTAATATGTCATACATTAAAATTATGGAAAAGAGTAACTCAGCATAGATTATGACATGATACTAATGTTTCTTAAAATCTGTTTGGATTCATGTTGGGTAGGTCTATTATGGAAGCTCTATATTTGTTGTGAGGTTTTATGAAGAAGTATAGAGAAAGAAAGGAGGATTTTCATATGATATTTATTGATTTGGAGAAAGCATAGGATAAAGTTCTAAGAGAAGTGTTTTAGAGAGTTCTAGAAAAGAAATGACAGGAAAAAAATAACAAAAGAAAGAAGCCATGGCTTGGTGATTGACCTTATTGATAGTCAGCTTTGAGGGGAATATTCTCTTCCTTCTTTTGGTTTGTCATTATTGCTGTCGAGTTCAGGTTCTATAATTTCAACTAACAAAGACAAAGTTATAATTTTTACTTTCTCATTCTGCATTCCCTTTACCTTTTTGAGCAAGTAGATTTCTAATGTAATGTGATAGAACTCCCGTCTCCTCTAATCTTTTGACTGGGTATTTCTTGTGCAGCTCTTACCTGCTAATGTCTACCACGTATTCATTTCCTTGAAATTTAAAGTAAAGTACTCATGAATTTGCCTGGTCTGGCTATTATGCACATAGTTGGTCAGCTTTCTATGGTCATTCGAAAACAGACAATCATAAGAGAGCTGTGATGTCTCTTTGGAAAAAAATCATTACAACAAACCAACGATTGATGATTCTTTCTTTGCAAGCATAGTATTCTTTAAGAGTTGGACTAGACTGTTTGTTTTGTTTATGATATTTTAGAAGTATATTGGCTCAAAATCAAACCAAGGACTTGTGGCTGGTTTGATTTTGATGGCCCATGAGGAAAAAGAGAGGCAGTGCAGTTGTGTGATCGCTGGTGAGTATCTGTGTTCTCCTACCCACTGGAAAACACAGGATAACTTAAGTGCCTCAGGTTCCAAAATTCTGGAATCTAGCAACTTGCTTTGTCGTGTGTGCCAATGTGCAGAATCTGACATAAGAGGAGATGCTGTCTTATGCTTGTTGGATATTTCCCTTCCATCAGAAGCGATTTCTAAAATAAATAAGCTTGATGAATTGGCCGAGACGTTTCCCAAAAGAGCTGCTGCAAAAGATGTAAATGATGGTGGGAAAGAAGCTGAGTTAATTGAGTTCATTAGCCCTGATGGTGAGGTTTTTGTGTGCTCCGAACTGGAGTCAAGTTCATATGATTTTCAAAACACACTCGTTAATCTTGGGTGTTCTTGCAAAAATGATCTTGCTCTTGCACACTATTCTTGTGCATTGAAGTGGTTTATTAGTCATGGATCTACTATTTGTGAAATATGTGGAACTGTAGCAAAAAATATAAGACATACAGACTTTGTAAAGGTAGTGGCTTCTTTGAAGGAATATGAATCATTACGGGAAAAGACTGCTATGGGTGAGCTTGCACATATCCATGCGGGGACAAATTCAGGTGTAGATCCTGATGCTTTAGCTGCTGTTAGGAGACAGAGACTGAACGAAGTATCATTTTGGTTCAATCCCCAAAATAATGCAGTTGCAGTTCCTCAAGAAGCTATAGCGGACCAGCCATCAAATGTTCCCACTGAAAGTATTGTTGCTGTGGAAAATCCAACAACAACATGGGCAGTGGAAGGTACTGGGATCCTTGTTGCCACGGGTTTGCTAACTGTAACTCTTGCTTGGCTTATTGCTCCTCATGTTGGGAAGGTATGCTTTATTCTTGTTTGGCCTTGGATGCTTAATAGCTGATATAAACTGTTGTCGTCCATTTATTTTATTGGCATGACATTAGCTGTTGATGGATTTTGTTATCCCAATAAAAATATAAACATTATTCTTTCAGTTCCCAGTTCACTTTGATTGTTCTTTATGGCCAAAACGTTTCTGCTATCAACTAGATAACTGATACTGTTGTGAACCTCCTAGGAGAAGATAGTATGATGCATTACTTTGTTCCACCTCCGCTATTTTTGTATGACATGCATAAAATGATGTAGGCGTGGAGCTTGCTTAAAGAAAGAAAAACCATACACATTTGAGTATTTATGGAATTAATAGTTTACTTGACTATTTCCAAGATTTGGGTGGTTATTTTGCAAATTGTGAAGGTAAGTGGGTGTTAGTTTTGTAAATTGCCAAATTTTGAGTGCTACATGAAAAGTGTCTTTGACCTAACACTTGACAGATGACGTGTCCATTTACAAGAATGAGAACTTTTTCCCTTCAATCAAGTACAGGGCAGGTCTTGTATTTTTATGCTTAATTTTGGATAGTTGCTAGGCCACTGGCCATGCCAACTTTACAACTTGTTTGCAGAGTATTGGATTCGGCTAGGTCTCATGGGATTGCGGCATTAAATAGGACTCCTAAAATTAACTTATTGTTTTTTTTCAAAGTTTCCTAAAATTTTTGTAAATATTCTATTATATTTTCCTTACATCTGTCGACCCACGTAGTGGGATAAAAATTTGATGTTGTTATTATTGTATTTTCCTTACATATAATAACCTTTTTTATTCTATTTTACTTTTTTGTTAAATTGTTTGGGTTTTTCAAAATTTGCTTGCTCAAGAGAAAACCAAGTGCCTCATTTTGGACTCTTAGTTTAGTTATCTGTGCACAACACGATGTCAAGTGGATGTATGCGGATGAAATTTGACATCAATCATGCGGATGAAATTCAACAACAATCATGCCAACAAGACGCTCATGACTCTTACAAGAAGAAATATTTGCACTCTTTATGAGATGGCTCTATTTGTCTAATCGGCATCAAATGACTTGAGTTTTCGTGTGGTATTGTTCCTGTTCAGATCATCGATGACAATGATGAGTTCATAAAAGTTTACATAATTTATATTTCTTAGTTTATACTTCATTCTACTTTAGTCTCAATATCTTTTTTATGTTCATTAATCTTTCCTATGCCCATGTATGTTTATGTTCATGTCTATGTCATCAAGTGTTTATTATGATGCCAATTTGCATTTGTTTAGGGCATCATCAATCCTACTATGGTATTCCTAAAAAGTTATGCAGTATTTGACTATTTGTATATCACCTTGACAAAGGGGTTTATGAGAAATTTATCATACTAACCTTACCCATGGAAAGGAAGTTAGACATTGTGGTGCATGTGAAAACCGAGCTTAATTTTGTCTATATTACATACTCTAAGAACGTTGAGCATAAGTGTTATGTAATATCTAGACGAATTGATATAGAGTCTAAAATTTATATTGAAACTAATAGCATGCTAAGGAAATAACTAGATAAGAGTAAAACTAAATAAGAGGATTTCCCTTACTATGCTTAGAATGATATGCATGGGTTTTCAATTTACCTGCGCCAAAAAGGTGGGCATAGATCTTCTACCACCACAATGAGAATGGTGTGCATGATTTTTTGCAAAATCCCTACAGTATGTTAACAAAATAATGATAAAATAACCATGCAAGATGCCAAGAAAGGCACACATGGTTGGTACATGCCATTCTTTGCTGTACAGTGAGCAAAATATAAATTCCTATGAGTTTTGGTTGATAGATCGAAGAGATGACACATAAAATAATAACCACACAATTAAAATTTTCTTGCAAAACTTCACCTTCCCATGAGATTTATTATTTAGTAATAAAAAATTGGTTAAATATTTACTATTAATCTATCTGATATTTTGTAACCAAAAGGGTTAAAAATATTTCATCTCATGATGTGAAACTAATATTACTTTGGCAGATTTATGTTTGCCCTTTTCAAAAATTGTTGAAAGTGTTGTTGGTGTCAGGTGACTCAGGCCAGTTGCAGTTATGCGATGGAGTGAGTGGATGACTAATTGAAAGAGAAAGTGAAATACAAGAATTTAAACAGAGAAAGGAGAAAGGGAAAGGAGCGTGGGAGAAAAAGTGTAAGAGAGAGGAGAGGAATGAGAGAGAGAGTGTGGGAGAGGAGAGGTGGCAGTCATATTGATGGGAAAGAGGTTAAAAAAAATACTCAAGTGCGCATGTGTGTAGGAAGAGATACCTACTATCACTTATCTTTACACATCTTTCACCATTCAACAAAAAGTTTTAAAATTTAAATGACTAAAATTTAAGCAGTACAAAGCCATTTGTAATGTAATATATAGAAAAAAATAATTTTAGTTTTGCTTCAAATGTGGATGTTTTTATGTAGTTTTGATCTTGTTTTTTTTTATTTATTTTCACTTTCAATTTTGTTATTTTTGTTGTGAAACATAATATTTAAAATATCATTCATTTAATATATTTTAAAGCTAATTTTTGTTAAAACAAATGATATTAGGATTATGATTATTTAATAAGTAAGAACCCAAACTAGCCCCCCCCCCCCCAACTATTAGTAAATGTTCAATTTAGATTTTCATGATGACCCAATTTATTCCCCAGACTATTATAAAATGTTCTTTCAACCAAACCACTAAGAAATTGAGAAGAAGAGCACACCACGAATTTTTATTGCAAGATATATGAAAAAAATAACAAGATATAGTTGGATTTTTAATTGGAGAGGAAGATCTGGCTCTCCCAAATCCCTAGCCTCTGGCTAGAGCCCTCACAACCTAATTTCAGCCAAACATAAGCATAAGAATTGAACCCTAGGTAAACAACCTACTTAAGGCATACAATACATAGTAAATCCTAAAACAACCCTCTCCCTTTTGAATTTTCCTCCCAACTGCCCCCTTCTCATTCAAATTCGGCCCTGGCCTCACCCCAAATGGGCGGTATTCATTCAGGCGGAAGCTTGTTCCGCCTCTAGTAAATTTTGGCCGGTTTAGGAGGGACTGACCCAATAATGACCGGTTCCTCAATACCCATTCTCAAAGATTCATCTTGTTCTTAAGGTGAAAAGAAGAAAGTTGCTACTGAAGTTGGGTAGGGCTAGCACTAGCATGCTGGTGATCACCTTCTTCAACTCCTCAAAGGCCTTGATAGCTGCTTCACCCCAATTGAATTTATCCTTCATTAGCTGTTCGGTCAAAAGCCAGGCTGTTGAATTGTCTCCTTTCATGAACTTTTTGTGGTAGCATGTGAGCACCAAGAACCTTCCTAACTCACTCAAGCTCTTGGGTATTGACCATCTCAGCATGGCCTTGATCTTTGCTCTGGTTAGCTGCTTTTCCTTCCTGTGATACCATGTGCCTCAAAGGAACACTTCTTCAAATTGACGTACAACTAACGCTCCTTTAATATTGCTAACATGATCCTTAAGTGCTCTGCCAAGAATCCCATCTCTGCTTCCTGGATTGGCCTTATCATAGTCTTAAGAGCAACCCTGGTTATGGACAGACTAGGATACCTCATGATCCTCACCTTTCTCTCTTCCAACATGAATTTCGTAGTCAAAGCCTTCCAATCCACTTTCGTCTTCCCCAGAGTCTGTAACCACTTCTTACCCAAAATTACATCTATTCTTTCTAACTCCAAAATAAGAAAATCCTCTCTTACCTAGATCTCCTGTAGTGTCACCATCAGCCATAGGCTTGCATAAATCTGAGGAATAAATATATTTTAGGGCGTAGAATAGATCCTAGCGTTAGAGTCTGAAAGAATCCTAGGGTCTAGACAAATCCTAAGGTCTAGATTGGTTTTTGGAAGAATCCTAGGAACTAGATAGATCCTAGTATCTAGATTGGTCTAGAGGCTAGACTGATATGGGGTCATAATTGATTTGGGGTCAGGATGTGAGAGTCTTTTGAGGTTGTTAGACCTCAATGAACTGTCCCTAAGGCTCACTAATACGGAAGTAATATTATCACTTGATGCGGAAGCTAATACACTTATCAAAAGTTATAAAGATGGTGATAATAATCTTAATCAATAGCACATAATATCAATTAGATTTTTAACCAAGTAATTATAATAGAAAATAAAATGCAGAAAAATAAACTGCATAATATAAAATAAAAAGAACACATAAGATTTATAGTGGTTCGGTCAAACCATGACCTACGTCCACTCCCCGGACTCACCCACTCTAGGTATTGCACTTCACGATAGTGTCTTTCTTTTAGCCCCCATAGCTAGGCGAAGAAGACCTTACAAAACCTCTTCTACCAACCTGGTATGACAGAGGACCAAACTCTTTTCATAGGTAGAGAACCTTAACTCCTTTTCACCCTCTTAGTGGGCTAGAGAACCGTACTCCTTTCACAGGAAAAGAACCTTGACTCCTTTTCACCTTCCTGGTGAGGCATAAAATCTTGAATCACATTCACCTTCCCAGGTGCGACAAAACCTCTACTTTTCTCCACCTTCCCTATTTCAATCATCACACCAAAATAGCATATATCATCCAGCTTCAGCCCTAACCAGCCTACCACCTGGTTAGAGATGAAATTGTGAGTCTCCCCACTGTCCACTATAACTACCATTGATTCTCTTCCTATATGCCCCCTCATCTTCATGATATGATTTGAGGTAAGTCCCACTACTGAATTATGGGAGACATTAGCTACATTTAGGTGCAAATGCTCCTCCTCATTGTAGACTGTAAGTACCTGCAGCGAGTAGTCCTTACAGTGGTGGATTGGTGCAAATTTTTCATCAAAACAAAAACATCGTCCCCTAGCCCTCTTCTTTGAACCTCTGCCTCAGTCAAACGCTTGAAATTTCTGCCGGGCCTTGCTCCCAATCCTCTATCCTTAGATACTTCTCCCTGAATGATCACAAACTATTCCTTTG